TCGGGCACAGAAGCCAGGGTTACCGTGAAAGCGTCGGCGCTGCTCATTTTCTCGTAGTACTCGAGGAAACACCACTGCTCGTGGTTCTTGAACATGCGCGAACGCTCGAAGGCACTGGTCTTGACCGTCAATTTAGATTCCATGTCTGGCTTCTTGACAGAGGACGAAGACGCTCCCAGCGACGGGTCCACGACGTGCACGATAGCACCGTGGATGTAATCCTTGTACAGGCTTCGCATCACCATATCGTGGTCAGTAGCAGTGTTGGTGCTTAGAATGTGAGAGAGTTCGTTCAAGCTGGCCTTCATCTCACCCGTGGCCAGCACTTCTTGAGCCGCCTCGATTCCGTCGCCGTGCGAGAACGCCGTGAAGTCGTTGGCCACGGCCTTCCACTTCCAGTTGCGCAACGATGCCTGGCGGTTCGTCAGGCGGTGGAAGTCCACCTTATCGGTTGCATCACGGGCTAGTTGCAGCAGTTGAGTGTTGCCAAGACGCACCCGTGATTGCGGCTCTTGGTCGGCCTCCGAGTCGGCGAAGGACATTTCCTTAGTGGTTCCCCAAGAGTCGTGCCACGAGCGCTCCACAGTGAGGCGCTTGAGACCGCTCTTGAAACTTGCCACAGTTGGGCGCGATCGGTCTGAGCGTGAGCCGAGCATGGCGAATCGGAGAATGAGCTCTTCTTCGTCGAGCGAGCTCACTTCGACGACGGTGTGACTCTCCCCAGCATGCAGCCGGGGCAAGAAACCATTTGGGATCGTGAGTCATGAGGGGATCGCGACTTGTGAGTCCACGTGTCGGGAGAGCTTACGCGATATAGCCAAAGCCAAGACGAAGAGGCCTGCTTTTGACAGCAAAGATAATCCACCAGACGTGTGTAACCCTGCATGTAGAGTGCAGCGTTGAAGGACGAGGAGATCCACTTGGTTTGGAGCAGAATTTATGGACAACGAGAAGTTTCTACACTTGGTAATAGCAGCGCTACCAAGTGAGCACCACGAGCTCCTTAATACCATGAGGCAGGACACTCGACGGCAGATGCCTTCGTTTATTACGGTCACCTTCAGGATCAGTTTGCAACTGGCGGAACAACTTATCCGCAGAGTGACCACAAAAGTAGCAACTCCATGTAAGGTTGGCTTTGTCGAAGCCCGTTCGCTTCCGAACACCCGCGAAATCGGGCGCCCAGACACAAAATCGCATGTGAAGCGGGTCAGAACGCAATTGAGCGTTCCAAACAAAACAGTTCGTGGGGAGTGGACGAGCGAGCGTATGCAAGTTTGCGCCTCAACTTGAGGGTCTCAAGTTGATGCTCAAGCGTAGAAGAGCGAGGGTGGAAGTGAAATGCAGACAGGATTGGTGATGGCTGAAGCGATTTGATCCCTTCGCTCATCTACATGC